CTCGAGGGAACAGTGTGTTCTTGACAGACAGAGGGAACAAAACATAACTGCCCGTCTTAAAAAACAAACTGATCAGAGGCATGGCTGTCGTTTCTGTTGCCTGTACATTTTGTCTGTCATATCTTCCCCCTCTGTCACATAGTTCACCTGTGGTTAACTGTGTATCTCATTCTCGCACATTTATATGGCAGATGTTTCCCATGTAGGTGTGTGTGGGGGAGAGGGGGAGTAGGTGCTGCTGAGTGAGACGTCTGCCTTGATCTGTGTGAATGTGTTGCTGTAATGTGGCAGCTCATACGAGCCGGCAAGTCAGTGATTTACTATTGAGTTAAAGAGTGAATCAGTATGTGTACATGTGAGAAGCTCACCTGTAGTAAACTGTGTCACCTCCTCCACTCGCCCAACTGGACAGTTATTCTTGAAGGCGTACAAGTTGAATGGCTTCGGCTCTTTGCTCATCTCGCCCCATAGTTCGTGATTTGGTGAGGTCCACCGGCCGGCTAGCGTGTCGTAATCCCGCCTGCCCAAATGGACCAGCCGTGTGAAAGAATCGTACAAGCCTCCGTGGAAGCCAATGACAAGCTGGAAGTCCGGGTTGGTGTCCTGGTAGACCTCTCCATAGGGGGTGTACAGGATCTCTTTGACCAGTCGCCCTTTGCTAGAGAAAACCGCCCTTGGACTTCCCACGCTGTCGCAGGCGACGTAGTACTCCTCCCCGCTGCTCAGCTCCATGGCAATAAGATGACCCTGAAGGTCGTAGTACAGCGACGTGATCAGATTGCTACTGTGGTTGTACAAGTGGGTGATCCTGGTGGGCTGTGACAGGTCAGCATAAAAATACTGCAGCTGCTCGCCCTGGCTGCTCTTGGTGGCGACTCGACGACCCAGCCCATCATAGCGGTACCACACAGTGCGCTCAGTCACTCGGTTGAAGACACGGGTCAGTAGGCCGTTAGAGTTGTAGTCGAAGAGGTCATTGGCTCGCTGGCGGAGGAAGCCATCCTCATCCACATTGTACTGTAACTCACCGAGGTGTGTGATGCGGTCTCTCTGGTCATAACGCAACGGAGTCAGCCTGGAAATAAACCAAACAAATATATATATGCTGTTGAAAAATAGCTTTTGAGCGTGCCTCTTTATTGCGTATGTGTTGCACTGTGATACTGTAGGTGGTGAACCAAAGAGCAGGGCTGTACTGAGAGTTCAAGTTCCTTGAACTGTTGACCACAGCCTGAATGAACGAAAAACTAATTACCCTGCATATGTCTCTGAATTTCCAAAATGGTACAATAACAAACTGCCATCATATCAAGCCCAAAGAAGGCAGGCAGCCTACATGGCAGAATACTAGCACGCAAATACAGCTACCAACTGTTTTAGATGCATCTACCTATCCATT